CGCATTTGTTTATATTTTATTTTAGACATTGCATATTCTCGTCTTAGTAATATGACTATTAATTGAATATCTGTAGACCAAAATGTTGTGGCCTCTGTTATGGTTGAAATCTCCTTTAGATTTATAGAAGTAAGTTGACCTCGTTGTCGCAACTTGGTCTTGTTTTCAGGGAGACTGTAGAACACACCTTGTCCGAAGTCGTCTGCCTTAGTAGTTGTCATGATTCCCAGCATCTAAGAGTGGACTTAAGACATTCTTAAACGTTTCGCCGGCATCGTAGTCGGCATCATCAGTGAGTTTTGCCATTCCCGCACCAAGCTACGAACTCGTCGAAGAGACAAGGCTTTGCCGACTACGATGCCGGCGAAACGTTTGAGAATGTATCAAGTCGACTGTCAGATGCTGGGAATCATGACAACTACTATGGCAGGCGACTTCGGACTAGGTGCGTTCTACATAGTCACCCTGACAACAAGACCAAGTCGCGACAACGAGGTCAACCCACTTTTATGACTTTTAATGCTTACAATAACGTACAAAAATGGTGTATCTTATCAAAATTTTTTGCTGAATTTGGACAAAGCCCATTAATGTAAAATTAAAACTAAGACAACTTTCTCAGCACTAGTTTCGTTCTCCTTTATTAATTCGCACTCGGGATCAGATCTTTTATGGTTATATAGCCCTTATATGCCCTGTATCCACATTTTTCTCTATATATTTGCGCAGTATGCCTTTCGAATAATCTCGAAAGGTTTTTGCAGTTCTATTGCCAACGTATACCCAGTGGATTAACTTCTGACTATTGAGCTCACTTCAATTTAGCGTTAAAGTGTTTGATTAAGATGCCATTAGAGCACGAAGACGGATTTCTCTTGACCAGTTGTCTATTGGCTTTACTAAAATAGTCTTATTAACGCTGTTTCCTAGACAATCCTCCAATCCAAGTGAAAATTTGCCTAGCTTTTATTCGCCATACGACTAAGCAAATGTAGACCATGCCTAATGCGATTGTGTAAAATAATTCAATAGCGTCTGCAAATTTTACGGTATTCGAAATCTCAAGTACGTATTCTTCTTTCTATAGGTCTAATAATAATAAAGTTCTCGATTATAAGGTAAAGTTCAAATATCTTTGTTTGCAATGCACATCCTAGAATAAAAAATTGGTTATCTAACGCTATATGAAGGTTTTCAGCGATTTTTCATGTAAAACCATTGATTCTATTGTCGATTGTAATATCGGAATTTGCTATATCACGTGCTATAAAATGTCATATGCTTCACTAGCATATAGTATCGGAAAAGGCTGTTGATTTCCTCAAGCTTCTTATGAGGATTCTTGATGACAGCCAAATCTTTTGAAATATTGATTCCTTAAGCTGCCTCGTGATTTTTAATTGATTCTTCCATCCGATTTTACAGCATATTAGAATTTCTAATCTCAAGCGGTTATTATTTCTGTTAAGTTATTATAAGTTTATTGCTAACTGATGTGAAAAGGTCATTGTATGTAAAATCTAAAATTCCGATAAGATTATGGCAGCTCGCTGATAGATTACATGGTTTTCCATTCTGGGAGATTCTTATCTACAATTGAGTTTTTTGGAATCTAACCCTAATAGGAAATTGAATGGGCTAGGTATTATCATCAGTCTTTTGTAGTTTAGGACTTTTCCTTCTATTTGTAATGCTAATTTTAACTTGTTATTTCTTCTCTCTAACTCATTTTTTTTATTGCTTAGTATGAGTAACCCCATTGCAAGCAAATTATACTTTCGCTACCTTAGCGGTTAAGTAGAAAGCGTTTATGATCGCTGATGAATGTCTAAATATCCGTTTTTCTTCATCTCATATAAAAAGAACAGATCATGGTCCTTGGCTCTGGAGTCTATCGGATCGGTTCCAGCGTAGAGTTCGACTGGTGTGCCGTTCGCTGTGTGCAGGTATTGCGCGAACTCGGTTGGTCGACGATAATGCTAAATTGCAATCCGGAAACTGTTTCTACCGACTATGATATGTGTGACCGCCTATACTTCGATGAGTTATCCCTCGAACGTGTGCTCGATATTTACGAGTGAGTCCAGGCTGACAGTCGATTTTCATTTCACTGGCTCATTTGAGCTCATTTTTCACGAAGCAAATAAAATTAATCGTAGATTCTATAGTAGCGGACTTAGGACAAAGTTTGCCTAACTAGGTCCCCCTGAAAATACTACACAGTTGCGAAAACTTGATCAAACCCCACAAATAAAATAAGGGTTGGCTCTAGAACCAACTTCCGATTGTGTTGTAAGCAAACACCTATGTAATTACAGAATAATAATCACACTGAGTAGATTTCGATACTTCCATAACCTCAGAATAAATACAAATGTAGGAAGGCTTGGCTGTACTCAAAGGTTGTCCGAAACAATGTGTAAATAGTGGGAAGCAAAAGAAGTAAAGCATGAACGCACTACGTCGATACAATGTTAAAGTCCCTAGAAAATTACGAAACATACAGGACCATAATTAAGGACCTCACATAAGGCTTGAAGGCTAGACTCTAAGGTTGTCTGCGACAATGTGTAAGTAGCAAAAACAGGATAAGAATATAATTAACTTAGAGAGTTGCTAGGCTAAAAAATACGTATGCTTTGTGCATATTTACTAAGGAGGTTGTCCCACTTAACAATATCGTAAATAATAAATTTTGCTAAATTCATACACCATCACGATTTATTTGAATACAGTTAAAGCAAATCTCCGAAACCTGGAAGTTTTCAATAAGCAGTTCTTGCAACTTTGTTATATTTTAAACCAAATATTAACTGGGCTTCGACTAATCTCTTAAGGATAACATTGTTGGAGAGACTTTCATTTCTTATGAAAGTGCATGTTAAAAAAGTTGTAGATAGATCTCATTAGAAGACGACCGCTGATTCCCGTTTTGCTGCAGCCATTTACCTTTAATATGACATTCAGGTTGACAATCTACGAGATATCCTCCCTCTTTCGGGAGAAAACGGGCTAAGCTTTCGCCCATCATCAAAAAGACTATCCAGTTCTATTTTACGTCTTATATATATTCAGAATTAAAAATGAATATATATATATATATATTGATTTAGAAGGATTTAGCAATTTCCCTTTGATATTGGTCATAATACTTGTCCGTGTGTTAACGTCTATACGTAATACTCGTCCTAAATCAGTTTAAAAGGCTCGGGTCATCAGAGCTTAATAACGCAATATAAAACCCTGATCGCGATTACGTAATTCCGTAAGCAACTATGGTTTAGATAATGGAATGTAAACTTATACAAGTGTAAGTCGGGTTACGAAAACAACCGTCAACCCGTCAGTTTGTAGTCATTAGACTTTAACAACCCAAGGAAAGGCATGACTGGGATTGCCTAATCTCCTACATATGTTTTGATTTATGTGTTTAATCGATATTTTGGGTGGGTGAGTGAGGTTGGAAGCATCACTGGGCTGATGAGTTGAGTCGCCTCCTTTTGGATGGCGGCTCAACACCCTCCCTCTCCTTCAATTTTTCAGTCAAGCATAAGTATTTCTAACCCAACTTCCTACCACAATTCCTCACATTCAACTTGCTCTCTTATCTGTTAATTTCAATGGCCTCTTATCTTTTAACCGCAGAAGTACCATAATCAGCAAGCCTACGCGTTTGAGACCATTCATCTCATATCCAGTCTAGTGGCTGAGCAAATGACAGTAAACTAATTTAATAAGACTTATTCACACCTTCAACTGGTTTCCTCATCCCCTCCATTATTTTAAAAGTGTTAGTTCAATTTGGTCTGAAACCTACTGCATCAAAGTCCTATCAGGGTCTCTTGCTCCGTAATATCAGTCTCTTATCGTCTTGTTCTGTGGCTTCACTCGATCATTACCACCATCTCTGCTGCTTGAGGCGTTATTTCCTATGCTTTGCCTCAAGCTTTTGATAGCACGTCAACTCTAGACTTACTGAGCAGGCCTCGATAGTCTGGATTATCCTGCTGGATGAAAAACTTACTTAACACTTCAGTTTTCCCTATCACCGTTTGGAATATACACCGGGTAAATATCGTGGTCAAGCCATTACTCCATGGACCACGTATATTATCTAACTTATGTGCTGTGAGCCAACTTCCTCTGGTCTCCCTCGCATCCCTTGCGCTTCTATCTGAATTGTCAACTCTATGTCTCCTATTACCTAGTTTCTTATCCTCAATTGCTGTAGCTACGTTGACTAGGCTCACTGCAGACGCTTCCTATTGGTTACCTATTTCGCTTTTGTTACTTCTTCCTTTCGATTACCTTTCTTCGCGTTAAAATATTTACCTTATCGAGTAGTCTTATTTTTGCTGATCCTACTATTCCTTAATCTCCTCCGATCTGCTTCAGAAATACGTAAAGTTTTCGCTAGTTCTGTCTTCTTCCAGTCTCTTTTTCCTTATATTTTTTACAGTTAGTATATCGATGGCCTCTAATCTTTTATATCCTAATATTTTCATTATATTTGACAAGTCTTTCTGCCGACTTCTAGACTATTTTTACAGAGACTTTGATGTTCCAGGATTCGTAGACTGATTTTTTCCTGCTTCAATAATATACCTCTGCTCACAGTTGTTGTCTTTTATGCGGTAAAGTCCCAAGGAATCCGGTTTGCCATTTGAATTTCCCCACAATAAAGTGATTAAATCTCACGATCATATTTTCATCCAAGAGGGACTTCGCCTGGGTCTCGTCGGCATTCCCAACAGAAATCTCGCAAGTCTATTGCAGCGTATATTTTCGACATTCTGCCACGGGTGCTACTGGGTCGCAGAGTAGGCGTGACTTTTAAGACTGTCTAGGTTATTACTGTACCACATTTATAATGTAAATGTCTTTGATGCAAACTTGCACTTGCCACTACAATTAAGTTCGATATTTATATTCATTTCGAGTAGGTTTAGATGCTATCTGCTGCTTTTTTATAAGAACTTTATTGACTCTATTTCGAATAAGGTTATGAAGAACTCATGAATGCATTTAGGCACAGTGATTTAATTAGGCTTTTTGATAGACTAAAAATTTATGATAACATTAAAAAATAAAAATTAATAACTCTTAAAAGATGCCTATATAGTCCTGTATGGGAAGAAAAGTTGGGCTTCTAGGACTCTTGTTTCATAATTATTGAGCTTACTTCCATTTTGAGTGAAAGTTTTGGGTGAAGAGATTCGAAGGTCGGTTTTACATGAAGACAACAGCGGATTCCTCTTGACCAGCTGTCAATTGGCTTTACTGGAAGATTCATGCTGACGCTGTTTCCGAGGTAATCTACTTCAATTCCGGTGAAAAGGTGATAAGCTTTCGTCCGTCATATGACGAACATCATCAGAGCAAGGTATCATCGTCACAACCAAATTGAAGCTAATGAGTCAAGAAAACTCACCTACAAATCCCTAAAAAGTGGTATATCTACTCTACATCTGGCCTCTTTGATCAAGTATAAAGTGATTTGATTCAACTTCGAAGCCTGTGAGTGTGTCTGTCTCTGTATGTGTATGTGCCTGTTTGTGTTAGATTATGCAGGAAACCCCACAGTGATGACTCAAAGTAATTAGGACAGCAAAAAGTATCTTCTGTTTTCGGCCATCAAAGTCTGATGCCCTCTATTTCCCCCTTCTACATGCATGTTGCTCCACTTTGATTGCGCAAGGCTGGACACACGTTGGTTTTGTTGATGAGCCTTCATTTGTTTTTGGTCTCAATACGAGAAAGAATAAGTGACCTTAAAGTACAGATAAGTGAATATGAATTTGTTTGAATTTGGTTGTAACGATGATACCTTGCTCTGATAATGTTCGTCTAATGACGGACTTTTTCACCTTTTCACCGGAATCGAAGGAGATTACCTCGGAAACAGCGTCAGCATGAATCTTCCAGTAAAGCCAATCAACAGCTGGTCAAGAGGAATCCGCCGTCGTCTTCTGATTAAACCGAGCTTCGAATCTGTTCACCCAACACTTTCTCTCGAAAAGGAGGTAAGCTCAACAATTATGAAACAAGAGATTCCTCGAAACCAAACTTTTCTTCGCATCCATACGTACTTATGGTATGAATTCTTATCAACTTTCTTCGGGCTTTACGAAAACCAAGAAATCTATATCCCGGCAAGTCAATACTATTAGATTTTAAAAAATTTATAATTCACATAATACACTTCCTAGATGTTGTATTCTTGGTAGACGTCCAGATTTTTATATTTCCACGAATAGGAAACTGGAGCATGTATCAGGTGGTTTGGTTAAGACTAGACTCAAAGAAAGTATAGACAAATTACATGACCTGCTTAAAACCAAAACAAGGACTAGACTATCCCTTTCTCGGCTATATTCTCAAGAAGACTTTCTTAAATTGCAGTAAATGGCGGACGGTTTGGCGGATAGGATGGATAAGATCCATCGATCCCGACATAATAAGAAATTAAGGGATTTAGTCATCAACATCAGCCCAAGGAATCGTCGAAACAATAAGGAGGCAGCTAAATTTAGTACTATTTTTTCTAGCAAAAATAAAGTCATTAATTTATCCAGTATACCTATAGATGCTAATGTTACACTCGTCTTGAAAATAGGTTTAAACTTTCCATTTCCAAATGAGAAAAATCATCCTATGGAGATACTAGTTGAGTTGATTAACTTAACA